TCATTGCAAATATAACCTTTGAAACCTTTCTTTTTGGACAGAGCTTTAGAAGTATTTCTTTTTATATACTTTTTCTGAAATGGTTTGTCATTCTTCAATTTCTTCCATCAAAATCTTTTCTTTTTGAAAGATCTGCGTTTGTAGGGTCATTCTGGCCCACAACCAATTTCCCAATTTTCTTTAAGAATCTTATCACAACACTTTTTGCCGTACTTTGTATTGTTGATTTGATTTTTAACTTGTTTCTTTGCTTTAACCTATAAACATCGATCAAAGATTAAATGATAAACATAATTAATTCGGAATCCTAGGTTATCTCCCTTATTAATTCTCATGAGAAAATCAGGATATCTTTTATGAGCAAGCTCATCAGATGGGTTTGGGAGTTTGGAACCAAGGCAACCAATTTGGGACTTGCGAGATTGGTAATAAAAAAATAATATTTTTTGAATAATGTAACATATTCGTCAAATCGGCATATATCACACAATTCTAATTTAGACAGAGCATGGTTTGCGTCCTCATGAAGGAAGGGTTATCCTGCATATCCAACTAAGTCTTCTTTGATGATCTTTATAAATTCATGGAGAACTTTATCAAAATCATTAAAATTAGCAAAGAGTTCAGTTTTTTGTCGTTTTCCTTACCCAATGTCTAAGTCATCTTAACATATCTCCTTGTAATGTTGCTGCAATATAATCAAGTAATCTTTCTTTTTTCCAGTTATCTATATAATTAGTAATTAGTATGGACAAGAATTGTGCCCAATCATCAATTACATCTTTGAACGATATGTTCGTAAGATCTAAATACATCTTGTGTTCGGCAATCATATTTTTATTAAGATCTTCTTTTTTGGAATACGATCTAGTGTACGATGTACTTGGATTATAATTTGTTCCTGAATTTTTTATATCTTCGACTTTGACTATAGCGGGGAAGAGCTGTTCTTCCTTTTGTTCAGGATAGTCTCCAAAAACTCTTGATCTAAAGGATCATTTGTTTTCTCTTTTGCAAGTTGAAGACTTCGACTAAGGATCAGCTTGGAATTCTTCATCATATGATTCTGATGAGGCTTTTTCTTCATTAGATTCCTTGTAAGGACATTGATGATATATATCTTTATCCGAGTCGCTTTCGAAAATTAGATTTATTTGGTAACCAAATTAATCTAAGAGATTCTCATATTGCAGAGAAGTCTCTCTGATCTGATTGATGATGATGTGATTTCTTTCATTAATTGAGAGATTAGACATGGTATAGATCTGTCTCCAGCAATCAAGAAGTTCTACTATATTATTTAATTCTTCTTTGTTGAATTGTTTTGTTTTTGTTTGAAACATAAGAACATCTTCGGTTCCATAGTAGAGATTTTAAGGTTTAGAACTAGAAGCCACGATCACTATTTTTGGTGAATAAAGATATTATAGTTTTGCAATTATTATTTGTTCTATCAAGATCTGTCTCCAGCAATCAAGAAGTTCTACTACATTTTTGTATTCTTCTTTGTTGAATTGTTTTGTTTTTGTTTAAAACATAAGAACATCTTCAGTTCCATAGTAGAGTTTTTAAGGTTTAGAACTAGAAGCCACGGTCACTATTTTTGGCGAATAAAGATATTATAGTTTTGCAACTATTGTCTGTTCTATCCCTTTTAGCATTAAATCAATTTTTCATTTAGTTTTTGTGCTTTCTGTCAGATCTACAAGTTGAGTTAAGTACTCAACTTTGCCGTTGATAATATCAGTAGCCTCTTGTATACAGTCTAAAGAAGACTTTATGTTCGTGGTATTGATGTTATATTTTTTTGTGGGCTGTGTGTTCCAGCTACTTATTATGTCTATTAAGGCATTTATAGTCGCACCAATCTAGTTTAGATGGTTCAACATTTTTTTTTTTTTTTTGTGAACCATATGTTCATAATTAGTAGGTTCTTTTTTTAATCATTTACAAATACAATCGCGAGGGTTTTCTCCTTATTATGCCATTATAATATGTTAAGGGTACCCAAAACTACCTATTACTGTTCCCGTGTCTTAAAAAAAAGTACCTAATGTCATTCAGACGAATTAGCATAAACATGAGATATGGGCTGCGAATATAAAATAATGGGCATATACATTTTAAAACAGCTAAAAAATGAAGCATCATAACATAAAACAATATTGAAGCCGAAAACAAGATTGAGCCAAAAATACTTTTTTTTTTTTTACAAGATAGAAATATATATGAAATAATAAAGAAAGATTTATAATAGAATACTTACAATAGTTCCAAGCTCGTCACAAAGTTAATAATGCCTAACTCGTCACAAAGCTCTGATACCAAAATACCAACAGAAATGTTTCATTAGGAAAAGTTACAAAACAAGATACAAGAAATAAAATTTTACAAAGTTGGATGATCCAGCCCAATAAATCACCTCACAAACTGATGAAATTGCTTCAGCCATTGATGCACAATTATATGCTCATTCTTTGTTTAAAAATGAATTATATAAATAAAACAAAAAAGTTGGCTACTGGTAAGAAATGTTTATTCAGTAGAGTTTGTTAATATATATATATATATATATATATATATATATATATATATATATATAAAATATACAAGAGTTTTGTGTTTAATGATTTTTGTTAATTAAAAATAATCAGAAATTTTATATAGGCGTGGATAAAGATATTGTGGGAAAATACAAAAAAGGGTAAAGTATAAAGACACCCCCTGAGGTTTGAGATAAGGCCATGCAGATGAAAGTTCGCCTATTTTTGGACAATGACACCCCTTCAAGTTTGAAAAATGGACAAAGAGACCCTAAAGATGGTGAATTGACCTTATTGTCCTTTGAAATAAAATTAACATTTTAATTGAACCCAAACCCGGTTGTGTGTATTATATAGTTCACCAGAGGAGAGAGAACGAGAGAGGAAGAAGGGAGATGAGATGGATGGTGGTTGTGGCTGCGATGGTGGGTGTAGGGAGGGGGGAAGAGAGGGGCGGCCATAGTTGAAGAGATGAGGTGAAGAAGATAAAGGAAAAACATATGAGGGGAAAAAAAATAATCTATTTAAACAAAACAGAGGGGGAAAAGAGATGCAATCCATAAGAGCTTGTTTGGTGTATGTTCCCATCTGTGGTGTAATGCTCCAGGCCCGCTACAATAACCCATTTTCAGAACAAAATGGGCTATTGTTCTGGTTTGTTCCACAAATTTTTTTAGGCCAAATCATTTTAGCCTCCGAATCACCTCTATCTCTATTCTCGTTCTCAACTCTGAACGTGCCCTAGTCTCTTTCTCCCTCTCTTTCTCCAACTGCAAACTACAAAATCTACAAGGATCAGAAGTCCCGCCTCCATCTCTATTCTCGTTCTCAACTTTGAACTTGCCCTAATCTCTCTCTCTCTCTCTGCAACTGCAAACTACAAAATCTACAAGGATCAGAAGTCCCACCTCCATCTCTATTCTCGTTCTCAACTCTGAACTTTGTTACATACCAAATTTCCCCCAACCCAAATTTGATCCCTTCCAAACAACCACCAAAACCAAATTTCCCCAAATCCCACCAATTCAAAATATTGTGCATTTCAAAATTTTGGATTTATGCTATGTTTTATCTAATTACTCTCGTCTACAGAGTCGATTTTTCATAACCCATTTATGATTTCCCATAACTAAGCTATGATTTAGGGTTTTGTAGAACAGATTGTTCAAAAAATCAAAACCCATATCTTTCAGTTTCCATATTCCAGTTCTGGTTCACTGTTCGCAAGCTTCAGCCGCTCTCTCAACTCTCAAGCTTGCCCCATCTCTCTCTGCAACTGCTAACCTGTGTGTATGGGTTTTGTTTTAATTTTTTTTTCTAAATCAACTAATCAAGCTCTGCAATTCTCTTGTTTTGCAAACTAATCAAGCTCTGTAATTAATTTATTTTAATCATCAAAAAAAAAAAAAAAATTTCTATTCCAAAATTTTCGTCCCAAACATGTTTTGTTCTCATTTCAGAACACCACACTACAAAACACTTATTCTGTTCTAGGTTAAAACAAAACACTTCCCAAACAGGCCCTAAGATGTGTTGAAGACAACTGATATGGGTAATTAATATTCACCTGTAAGAAATGTACAAGGAATCAAATGGGTTTCATGTGTCACTGAATTAAGAACATGTAAACACTAAACTACTGCTGGACTCATAAATTTTAGCCTTCTGATATAGTAATGGAGATGTGTCGTTGCAAGTCAATAACCTTGTATTTGAAGAAGACACGATGAAATAGCTCTGTGACGCCCTCAAGAGAAAGAAGATAGGAGAAAGATTGTGGTGATGGCTGCGACAGTTGGGGTGGCGGTGATAATGAGTTTGGCGAAGACAAATTCACTCCGGTGACGGCGAACTAACGTAGATCGGCGACTACGGGATTGAACTCTGAAGAGCTCGACCATGTGGAGAAGAATTTGCCCCATACTAGTGGCCGGCTTGGAAGATTCTGGCGGCACAAGCCGTCGGCATGGAGAATCTCCGGCCACAGCTTTCTACCTTAGTACGGTGGTCCTTCGACGCCTTCTTCGGTAGCGTAACCATCGATAATGTTGATTTAGATGGGTGGGCGGTGGAGAGGAACATAGGCGGTGGCGGTGTGTGGGTGTGTGTGTGGGTGTGTGTGTATAAAGATGAAGAGGGTAATTTGGTCTTTTAATTATTTTAATATTTTATAATTAAAATTAATAAAATAATGAAGAGTAAAATTGGCTTTTTATATGTTTTAAGACTCTGTTTGGCTTGCAAATTTCATAAAGGAGTGTCATTGTCTCAAGATAGGATAATTTATATTTGAGTGTCATTTTAACAAATCTCAAAGGGTGTTACTGTACTTTAACCTTAAAAAAAAAAAAAAACACTCGTGACTAAACCCGATTAAAATTCGGGTGCTTCGATCCGATGATTGTTAAATAAAATGTATGACACCATTTTCCGGACCATCCAATTTTGCCCTCCCTTCATATTTTCTTCCAATAAGTTGAACTCTACACACAGCATCCAACATCTGTGACTACAGCAGCCGTTCGATAGAAGGGTTGTCGCAAGGAATTAAGGAATTACAGGCGTCGTTCTCTGGGCATTCGATTTCCATGATCCTGTTTGGTCCGTTGCTTTCTTAGGAACTACTACTAGATAGAGACAGATGGAGCTGCAAATCAAGGTGGCGCAGGCGGTCCATGTCCTGAATCACGACTCTCAATCGTGCAACCGTGTTGCTGCAAATCAATGGCTGGTTCAGTTTCAACAAACCGATGTCGCTTGGGAGGTCGCCACCTCGATCCTCACCTCCGATCATCGCCAGCCATTCGTAAACGATTTCGAAGTTGAATTCTTCGCCGCACAGATTCTCAAACGAAAGGTCAATTTTAATAGCATTCTAAACTACCAACCCTGAGCTTAGGTTAAATAAACACTGTTACAACTATCCAGATTTTAGAAAAAGGAGGAAAACAGAAAACAGGCATGCTACAGTTAACATGTACTAGATCGTGGGGGTTTAGCTCACTATAGTTTTATGCTTGGTAGTAGCTAAGAAGTCCTTGGATTAAATCTTAAAATTCTCATGCTACTTTCGTATCGGGTGAAACTGCGATGTTTAAGATGACACATTTAATCCAAATTCCCCACTGGGAAAATTTAAAAAAACAAAAAGGAGAGAACTACCAAATGAAGGAAAGATATCTGTTCATCGATATTTCTTGTGATAAATTGCTTTCTTAAGTATTCTCATTGTCGTGGCCGTATCACATAATGGATTTCCTTAATAATACTTCCATGGCATAATCATGTTATATTCATCATCATTGTGATTCTATCTCTAGTACAAAAGCTTGTTCATCAGTTTCACAAATGTGTTTACTTCAAATTTTATCCTTTTTTGTCTCATCAGACATCCATCCTAACATTTTGCATTTCAATCTCATTATTTTGTGGTATGTTGTTTTTTAGCGGTTTAATATTCTATCCTACAAAATATAGTAGGTCTAAAAGTTGTTTATAAAACTTAACCTTCACTTCTACGACCGTGTATAATGCCATAAGTACTCCATTTAAACTTTAATTTTATGATTAACATGATCTCCCATTTCTCGTTCTTTTTCCAATAATCAAGCTAAGTGTTGAAGAAAATGTTTAGTTTTTGCTATCTATTGCCGCTTGATCTTCACTGTATCTCCACATGGTCTTGGACCATCTAATAATTTCTCAATGAGTGAGTGAATGAATAATAAATGTCTTTTAAAATTTCCTTGCGAGTGATTCACAAATTAGGAGGTGACCGAAGCCCTGATTATCTGAATTTTCAGCCACTAAACTATTTATTTTTCGACTATTTGAGGCTGCTCTTGAAGTCCTACATCACAATCACAACTTTAGGAATCATCATCCTCTGAGGTATGACCTCAACCAGTATTACTAACATTTTGTTCATGACTTTTATCTAAGGAATATTCCAACAATTGTTAGTGTGTCCTACTCCTAACATTTGTTTATGGGGCTATTGCTTGTTACCACCATAGCCATCATCCTTGCCTTGTCTCAATTGAATGGGTTAGCCACATAAATTTTCTTCCTAGTACAAGTTATGTCTCCTACATATCTAATTCATTGGCATATTTTCCTATTAGTTAATTCCGTGTTAGTTCCAATTTCAATTATCACCCTTACCTTCTATTTACTAGTTTTTCTATTTCCTTGGTGCATCTCATGATCTATGTTACATATGTTCATACCACCTAAACTACTCTATTAATTTTCAGTATTGGGTATCACTCTTAATTCTTAACAACATGATTATCATTATGTTGTCATTCTTTGTATTATTATTATTATTATTTTTGGAATTACATTACATATATAAAAGGGGCCATTTTTAGTGCACTTGGGAAATGCTCTGCTATAAAGTGTGAGGACACAGGTTCGAACTGAGAGCAACCATTTTGTGCAGATATTGTGAACCCTAATGTATATCTCTAGGTTGCATTTTTATTGTTAGGATTTCCTTATAAATGTTTGACAGAACTATGTCATCATGGAGCTATTTCTTGGTTTAATGGTAAATTACTCGTGCTAACAAGCGTGAGGGCACAAGTTCAATCGGAGAGTCAACAGTTTTGGCAAAACTGTGCTTAAAATTAGGTTTATCTCCGTTCTTTCCCTCCTAACACCCGGTGTAAGCTGGGGTGACACTAGGTAACTGCCTTTATTACAGTGTGCTAACATAAGCAACAAGGTTAATTATAAAAGAAAATAGAAGAGTTGTTATTATGCGTTCATCAAGGACTAGGGCCTGTTGGGATGAGAGAGGGGGATGGTCATCTAGGCCGGTCATATCTGCTTTCGCCCGCCGGGGGGGGGGGGGGGGGGGGGGGGGGGGGGGGAAGTTCTCTAAGCACATTAGATAAAGAGTTCAGGAGGGAAGGGACGTCCGGTTTTGGGAGGATGTTTGGTGCGAGGATCGCCTATTGTTTTGTTTGTTCCCAAGGCTGTTCAGGATTGTTGCTGATAGACATGCTTTGGTAGCTGAGTGTTATCGGCTTGATAGCGGTAGGCTTACCTAGACGTGAGATTCCGGCGATCCTTTCAGGATTGGGAGTTGGACAATGTGACTGACATGCTGGACCTTCTATATAGACAGGAGGTGGATGGTATTGGTTCGGATTCCTTGATTTAGGTGCTTTCTCCTTAGGGGACGTTCCAGGTTCGATCCTTTTTTCTTTGCCTGTCTGGATTTCATGGCTCCAACTTCCCGTGGAAAACGGTTTGGCGCTCGAAGGCTCCTCTTAGGGTGGCTTTTTTTGTTTGGACTACAGCTTGGGGCAAGATTTTGACTCTGGACAATCTGAGAAAGAGAAGACATATCACAGTCAACTGGTATTCGTGTTGTCTATGTAAAAATGATGGAGAGTTTGTGGATCACCTTCTTTTGCATTGACCCCTGACTCACGACTGCTGGAGTCTTATTTTTGGTCTGTTTGGCGTCCATTGGGTTATGCCCTTGGCTTCAAGGGATTTGATTGACGTTTGGAGGGCCACAGGGTGGGGGCCTATGCTCGTGACTCTTGGAGGGCGACTCCCCTCTGTGTTTGGTGGAGTCTTTGGAAAGAGTGGAATATAAGATCTTTTGATGGGGAGGAATCCTCCATTGGGGCGCTGAAATTTTCTATTGGTAGTTCTCTTTTTAGTTGGGTGATGGGGAGAAATTGTTTATCTTTAGATGAAATCGTGGATTTTTTGGGTTCTTTGGGTGAACTCTTCTCTGGCCTTGGCCTTTGTATAGCTCTTAGATGCGTTCCCTTTTGAATGTTTTCTTTACTTGTCAAAAACAAAAAAAAAAAAGGACTAGGGCCTGTTGAATTTATCTCTTGTTAACTGGGTGATATTAGTAAATTTTTATCAAACAATTTGTTTCAGGACAGTGTTATTGGAAGCTTGCAGTGGACAAGCAGTGATCTATAGTTGGCCCATCACTTTACTTTGCTAAGGGCATAAAAACAAATCCTGTAATCTAGTGGAGTCCAGAAATAATGAAACGGTAGGTTTAGCATAATATACCTCCCAAAAATTCAGCACGTTTTATCTTCATTAGGTTCCTCATGATTCTCATTTTATTAATGTGTCTGGAATAACATGAGCAATGTATGTTTATTTCAAACTGAACCAAATTTATTATTTTACCCTATTTTGGTACTTATTTTGCATTATTTGCAAGCACACTGGCATATTTAGGCGTCCAAATATATAGATTAATTTCCAGTTTATCCTCTAACATTGCAGATCCAAAATGAAGGATATTATTTGCAATTTGGGGCAAAAGATGCTCTATTAAATGCTCTACTCATGGCGGCCAAAAAATTTAGTTCCGGTCCTCCACAGGTGTTTCATCTTTTCCCTATTCACACAATCTGCTGAGGCTCTAATACTTGAAACAGATGCTTTTTCTGGGTTATTCTGTCATAAAAAAATGAAAAAAAAAAGGGAATGTTAGATTTTGCTGCCACATCTCTTTATATTTGGTGTCGCTGCTTTGTTTTAAAATGAATTTCTATTTCTGTATTATGTCTTTATCTTTCTCTTCTTTTGATTCTGAAATGTAGTGTTTGACTTAATTGTGGGTTTATGTTTTGGACAGCTCTTAACACAAATCTGTCTTGCACTCTCTGCTCTAATAATAAACGCTGTAGAGCATAGTAAACCCATTCAGCAGCTTTTTTTAAGTCTCCAGAATCTGCAAAATCAGGGTGATGGTAATATTGCTGTTTTGGAGATGCTCACCATCCTACCAGAAGTTGTTGAGGATCAAAGTACTGATTGTAACATAAGTGCTGCTTGCCGATGCGAGTATGGCCGAGAGGTTTTGGACTTCCTTATTATTTGGACCCATTTATATACTTTATTATCTTAACAACCCCCCTCTCAACCAACGGCTGTTAATGTACGTCTTAATCTGTTAAATGCAGCTTCTCTTGCACACTCCTATGGTTCTTGAGTTCCTACTGCAGCAATCTGAGAAAAAGGTTCATGGTGACATTCAACTACATGAAAGGAACAGAAAGATATTGCGTTGCTTACTGAGTTGGGTAAGACAATTGTTAATAAGGCCAATACCTTTTACTAATGTATAGCTTAGATCTTGCAACTGCTTATTTTATTACCTGCAATTGTGGACCTTATCGTCCTCAGTTGCCTCTGAATCAAGTATTTAGTTTTTGCTGCATTAGTTTCATCATAAAGTATGAGATGGGCTTCCCCAGCTAAATTTGTAATGTTTGATATGTTTGAAATTGGAAAATGCTGTAGTCTTGACATATTCAGCGTATAATAGGTCCCCAATTAGCTAATAATGAATACCTGTATTCAGGTTCGAGCTGGGTGCTTCTCAGATGTTCCCACAGGCTCATTGCCAGGGCATCCACTTCTTAGTTTTGTTTTTAACTCTTTGCAGGTAGTCTCTATTTACTATCCTGAATGGTGGTTTTGTAGTGTCTTAAAATTGATTTTGGTCATGCACTCAACTGTTTTCTGCATTGCTGGTCATAGGTTTCATCTTCATTTGATTTGGCCATCGAAGTCCTTGTGGAGCTTGTGAGTCGACATGAGGTATGCGCATTCCTTGTAACAGCAGCACTATACGTACCTATGGTATTATTTGTTGCATCCAAGGCCTACACTACTGGATTTCATTTGAATTAGTTTGGTTTCATTTAGCGGAGATGCAGGCTAGTTCTGTGCAAGCTAATGGAGACACGAGTATTATATATTTGGCTCTAGGCTGGGAGTGAATGAACTGATCCAATATGAGAACCAACAGTTGTAGTCTGTATGAGCAAGGGGCTTTACATCTTTTCACAGATTTTCCAGCGTAAAATTTGTAAGAGATTTCCCAACAAATTAATTCAAAATTTGGAAGAGACAGTATAATGTGTTTCAACATTTCCTAATATGTTGGGGACTTGACGGTGGTAGCTCTCCAGCTGTTAGGTTAAATGCTTGAAAGGAAGTTTTGCTTGATAGAATTTTAGGTCTGATTTCAGAAGAAAGGAGGGTGAAAAAATCCTACATGATAATTGCATCACTCACGCTTTGGATTTTTATATTACTAGTTTTCCAATTGTTTTGTAATATCCTCTCTTTTTTATTTCCTTTCCCTTTAAATTGGAATTTGTCTCAACGCAACTTTTTTTTTTTTCCGCAATAAACCTCTCTTGACTATCAGTCATTGGCAATAAACCCCCTTTATAATTTTTTTTTGGGGCAAAACCCCCCTCAACTAATTGAGGGGGCCAGGGGGTAACAGAACTAAACAGTTTTTAAAAAAGTGACCCTGTTGGCACGTGACTTTTGTGACAAAAATGCCCTTTTTACACCTCTTTTAAATACCCAACAAACAACCGGAGTTATAGCTCCTATTTTCATCTCCTTCGCCAAAGCAGCATGGCCCAACACCAACGAATTCTCTCGCTCCAATGTCACCCAAAAAGTTTACTGATTAATATCTGATATTTTCAATTATAATAGAAAGGCTTACTTAAGATTTATGAAACTAATCATCATGGTGAAGGAGATATAGCTCTCCTTTTTACTATTTAATACATATGCATATATACATGATATAGAACTTGTAATTCAAGATGGGCTTATGGATTGATTCATTCTGATTTTTCATATTCAAAAGATTCAAAACAAAAAAGAAAAAAAGAAAAAAAGAAAAAAAAAGAGAAACCAGATGACGAGATTAAAAGAGGAAGAAATCATGATCCAAATTTGTCCCTTTTTTCTGTTTGGGTGTGATTAGGTACATATAAATCAGTTTGTATGTACATTGATTGGTGTTGTACTCTCAGATAGTAGAGAGAGCTAATACGAAGTGAGAGTTATTATAAGCAAGCAAGCAGCAGAGATATTTAGTTTCGAACAAGTCATTTCCTTGAGAACTTTAATGCCTTTTATTTTCTCTCTATAAACTCTCTTTCACTAGTTAATTCTATGGTAATTCATTTTTGAATATAAAATTAGAATTACAGTTGAAATTGAACTCTACCGATGGAAACAACTTGTTTAGTACATAGTTGTATTGTATATCATATATATCAGAAGAAGTTGTTTTGGGTTTTGGCTTACTCAAACTGAGAGCCAAGAGCTATATTTATATACAAGAATATGGTACAAAGAAAGGAATCTAAATCAAAGAAAAAAAGGAAATATGCCAAAATCTACGTGATCCCATGATTATGGGGATCTTATCTACGTGATCCCATTATTACGGGGATCTTATCTACGCGATCTCATGATTATAGAGATCTTACATAAAACACATAATAAAAGGCTAAAAACAACTAATAAAAATAAAAATAATAATATTAAAGATATTTCAACACTCCCCCTCAAGCTGGAGTGAAGATATCAGTCTAGCCTACCTTGGTATGGTAATTCATTTTTGAATATAAATAGAATTATAGTTGAGATTGAACTCTACCTATGGAACAACTTGTTTAGTACATAGTTCTGTTGTATATCATATATATCAAAAGAAGTTATTTTGGGTTTTGGCTTACTCAAACCGAGCGCTATATTTATATGCAAGAATAGGGTACAAAAAAAAGAAACCAAATCAAAGAAAAATAAAAAATATGCCAAAATCTACATGATCCCATGATTACGGGGATCTTATCTACGTGATAATATGATTGTAGGGATTTTACATAAAACACATAATAAAAGGCTAAAAATAGTTAATAAAAATAAAAATAAAAATAAAAATAATAAAGATATTTCAACACTCCCCCTCAAGCTGGAGTGAAGATATCAGTCTAGCCCACCGTGGTACTCGAGGAATGAAGCAAAGATGGACCAACGGATTTAGTGAACACATTGACTGACTGATTAGAGGACTGAACAAAACTCGGCTTGGTAATTCCCAAACGAACCTTCTCTCTGATAAAATGAATGTCCACCTCTTTATGTTTAGTCATCTCATGAAGAACATAATCTGAAGCAAGCATGATTGCTGACTTATTATCATAAAACAAGTTTGAGGACTGTTTTTCACTTAGCCCTAACTCCTCCAAAAAAGATCGAAGCCCTTTAATCTCACAAGTACCTTGAGCCATGGCACGATACTCAGTCTTTGCTGAAGATCTTGAAACTACAGGTTGCTTCTTACTTTTCCAGGATATAAGATGGTCTCCATAGAAAGTGCAGAAGCCAGATGTGGAACATTTGTCAGTCTTGGACCTAGCATAGTCTGCATCACTGAAACAGGATAGCCTAACCTGCCTGCTAGAACAATAGAATAATCCAAGTCCAAGACATGATTTAAGATATCGAAGAATATGATATACCGCGTCCATATAAGCTTGTACGAGGAGCATGCATAAACTGGCTCACAAAACTAACCGCAAAAGCCAAATCAGGACGGGTGTTGGTAAGATAAATCAATCTTTTTACCAAGTGCTGATACTGCGAGGGATCAAAAAGAAGATCTCTAGACTCAGTCGAGATCTTCAGATTAGGATTTATAGGAGTGGAAGCAGGTTTACACCCAAGTATACCCGTGTCTTGAAGAAGATCTAACACATACTTCCTTTGCAATAAAGAGATACCTGCTTAGATCTTGCAACCTCAATTCCCAAGAAATTTTTAAGCTGCCCAAGGTCTTTCACATCAAAAGCTTTAGCCTGTTGAAGCTTTACTTGAGCAATCCCAAGGATGCCATTGCCACTAATGATGATATCATCAACATAGACAAGAAGAATGATACATCGACTATTGGAGGAACGGTGGATAAAACATGTATGGTCAGAATGGCATCTAACAAACTCCATGGATAGAATTACATCACTGAAGCGGCTGAACCAAGCTTTGGGAGATTGTTCTAACCCATACAAAGACTTCTGCAATCGACTGCCCCCTCAGCCTGAAAACTGTGTGGAGGATCTATGTAAATAGTCTTAAGAAAGTCACCGTTAAGGAAAGCATTCTTCACATCAAGCTGATGAAGAGGCCAATTGTGAGAGGTAGCCAGGGAGACAAGCAAACGAGCTAACGAATTGAGGTTAATTTGGTCACTGGAGTGAAGGTATCATTAAAGTCTTTACTAGGAATTTGAGTAAACCCTTTGGCCACCAAACGCGCCTTTTGTCGATCAACAGAGCCATTAACTAGATATTTAACATTGAATACCCATTTGAAACCAACAACCTTTTCACCAAGAGGGAGAGATATAAGCTCCCATGTTTCATTATGTTGCAAAACATCCATTTCTACCTTCATAATAGACATCCAATTGACATATATTTGCGAATGGAAATGGAATCAAGTTTGCGTAGAAAGGCTCGGTAAGACCCTGAAAGACCATCATAAGAGATATACTGTGAAATAGGATGATCAATACTACAAGTGAATCCAAATCGAGCAGGGGGTTTGCGGTTCCGAGTGGGATACCTAGACTTAGGAACACGGTCAGGAAAATGTAAAGGAGAGAGAGGAGATGTACCTTATCCTGTATCTGAGGAGAGGCAATGGAGGCGGAGCACGAGGGCAGCGAGAATAGACCTGCAAAGGGGGTGAGGAAACCATAAGAAAAGACTCTTCTTGAAAAATAGGAAGAGGATGAGCAAGAGGAGAAGCCTTTTGATCGGGAGTAGAAGTTTCCTTCAAGATAGTGTTAGGACCATAAAAAGGGGTATACTCATGAAAGGTGGCATCAAGAGAGTGATACATGTGTTTGTTTACGGGATCATAACACCGATCACCTTTTGACATGGAAGTGTATCCTAAAAAGATACATTTAATGGCCTAATCGTCAAGTTTAGTACGAGAAGGGCTACAATTCTGAACAAAACATTTACATCCAATCACCTGTGGCATGATGGAAAAGAGAGTAATATCAAGTTGAAGCACTTGTAAGGGGCCTTACCATTTAATACTTAACTAGGGGTACGATTAATGAGAAAAGTAGTTGTAAGAACCGCTATGTGCGAGTATGACTTTGGCACATTCATACCACTTAAAAGACATTGAACAACTGACATTTGTTGGCAGTTTTTACGCTCTGCCACACTATTCTGTTCAGGGGTATATGGACAAGTTAGCTGATAAAGAATATCCTGTTGGTTAAGTTGAGACCGAAACTCATTGGAAACATATTCACGACCATTGTCAGACCTAATATTCCTAATAACAGTTTTATATCGAGTTTTGATCATTTGGAGGAATTGAGTGAACAAGTGAAAAACTTCAGATTTCTTTTTAAGTAAATATACCCATGTGCAGCGGGAATAATCATCAATGAATGTGACATAGTAATGATGCCCTGAAAAGCAGTAACAAGAGAAAGACCCCACGCATCAGAATATATGAGATCAAACATGCTAGGTTTACGATGCATATGAGAAATATAACTGGTTCTAATATGTTTAGAGAGCTCACAAATTTCACATTGAAACTTATTATCCTTGCAAGCTGTTATTAATGAAGGGAAAATCAAATATAAATACTGAAAGTTTACATGCACAAGGCGAGCGTGCCATAAATTTAAAGTCTGAAAAGAAAAATACCTAGAAACTGGAAGAACAGAGGCTTGTAGGCTTGAAGCAAGC